CTTACAGATATACATATAATATATTTACATATATACACAAAACTATACATATATATATATATACTCAGAGGCAAACGGAACTCGAACAGATCTAACTAAATTATTTTTTTAAAATGCATTACACTCAATAATCTCGAGGGTATCAATAGTTGTTTTTAGTGTTGTTTGGGCGTCTCTACGTTATTTCTGTGACCTTGGCCTTGGAACAGAAAACAAGTACCGTGTGTGACCTCCGTTGGCCGCAATTACCGCTCTGTGTCTTCGACCCATAGAGTTCATGAGAGCATTTTTTTGTCGACCTGGGATCTGTACCCCCACCTGGACGATGGCTCGTGATTGTAGCTAATTGAGATGCCACTGGATAGCGTCCCAATTGTGCTCAATTGGGTTTAAGTCAGGTGAACGAGACGTATGAGTCGACCGATTGATTTTGATCTGCCCCAGAAGCTGTTGTCATACATGGGATGTATAAGGTTTCCCGTAGTCTTTCTGGAAAAAAAGAAATTTTGATGCCACTTGAAAAAGTGCACCACATGAGGCTGGAGAACTTGGTCAAGGCAGCACTGAGCTGTCCATTTCCTTGTCCATAGCCCACTTTCTGTTCCAATTTTTAAAATTTAAGGTGATTATTTCCCCACGTCATGTCTCTTTTGCTTTCCCCAAGGGGGTTGGTTAATGTGCTCTATCTACCTTGGTTCTTTGGCGTCCTGACGGGCGTCCTGATACAGCTTTGCCAAGACCGTAGACAGGTAGCGTTTCGTAGATTGCTTAAGTACTATTTCCCTCCCTTCTGATTCTAACCTCTTTGACGTGCTCCAAAGGCTAACCATCGCCAATAAGTTTGGAATTATGGAAGGTGTAAGGGTGTGTCTTAATATTTCATTGGAGTGACGGGGAATTTTTTGTGGTAGGGAAGTTTTGACTATTGAATTTTGACCAGGTGGCGGCCCAACGTCTTACTCTTCTACAATTTTCAACCACCAAGGGATCTTTAATGTGCGCAATGTACACTTGGAGTCTCTGGGATTTTTCATCCTTATCCGACTAGACTATGTGCTCAATCCTACCTGAAAGTCAGTGGTGTGGAGGAAGAAGGAGATTAAAAGAAAAAACCCGAGGGCGAGATGCGATTAACCGAGGAAGAGAAAGAGATATATTGATATGATAATGCATCTATACGTTTGTCTTCTTACAGGTATGACGCCACTGACATGAGCCTCTACCGGAGTGCTCTGAGCGCCTGTGTGGTGAAAGGTCTGCCCAATGTCCAGGACTACATCTACCAAAACCGCACCGTGAGGAACCAGGACCATTCGTCCACTGTGGACCCCCCGGAACACTCTGGACCAGCCTCGCCGACCTGACTGAGACAGTTGATGGGACGGTTTCTGGTCACTCCAGCCAGCTGGTTCTCCTTCTAAGCACGTAAGGCACGTGGTTGATTTGTGGGTTCTTATTTTACAATGAGAGTCAATCTAAGCCCTCCGTTCGGAACTTACTTGACCGAGTAGGCTCATCCAGTGTCTCCACTCTCTGTGGAGCCGTATTCCAGCCGGGGTCAAACCATGCGCGACAAACGCTATCATTTTTAGCTTATTTCAAAGATGGGAGTTTGTAATTCACTTTTATCCTTTTCGTCTTATTAAAATAGAAACATATAATATATAGCATATTATAGTACACCTCGTTAATGAAAGCTGCGGACCCTAAGAGTGTGTGTATATCTCTTTGAGGATCGGTGAGGAGAGAACTGCTCCAGATAGACATTGAAATGATCAATGGGTTAACACATTGTTTTCATGTTCTGTGAAACAAGCTCATCTGTTCGTGTATTTTAATATTATGTGAGAACCTTTTTGTTTGTACTCTTCTGTATTATTTTCCTTTCTTCTGTTCTCTGTTTTGTGCAGTTATAGTTTGTTTACTTTTGACTGTCCGATTTAAAACAAAAGTTTATCTCATTTATTATTTTACTTATGCCCACGAAACTTTGCATGGAACTTCTACTGGCCAAAAAACAGACATAAAAAAATCTTGAATCAGCAAAAGAAGGTTTTTCTTTTTGAGCTCTCTATATAAAAACCGGTCTTTGGATGTATACACAGAATGACTAAAACAAATGCCTTAAACTAACCTTGCCTACAAAATGCTCATTTTGGGACAGCGACACCACCCTGCCCCCACATGTCAGTGTAAACCTGCAGATTTCATCAATTGACTGTCTAGACTTCTCCTCTTCATCCTAGAAAGAATTCACCCTGTCTTTTAAAATGTGTACACACTTTTTAATGCGTTAAAGGTATGCTGCAAACCCCCTATTATTTGTGACACGCTTTAGGCTAACATCAAAGAAAACGTGTCGGAACCTTAATTTGCAGTGATCTTTTTGAATGGGCTTGTAAATTCTGTCAGACATCAAACTTTTAGACCTGTATGCAAAGGTTGGAGAAGATTAAACAGAGCGATTACATTTTACATTGTTTAAACATCGGTCAGACAAATGTGCACAAGTTACACCTGCAAAAGTTTCCAATAATATCTCTGCACTCTGAAGTTTTTCATGGTGTCTTTGTTTTTATAATTTTCATAAAGCAATAATGAGAAAACTTTCAGGATTTTATGAAAAGCCATCAAACGCAATTACGAACTGGAGAAACGATATTATCATGCTCCTAATCAAGGTGCAGAGTTGGTGCGAACTTGTTCAATACCCGGAAGAGAATATTATGAGCGTAGAAGCCAGTTATCAGAAAGAGGAAATGATAACTGAGAAGTGAAGTACATTTTTAGAATTTACTCTCCATAGCTGAAAAAGGAACCATTTTTCTGGTAATAGAAATGTTGTAAGGTGAGGCAATTTGTCAGAAATGTAAAAAGAGGAGGAATTACCGCAGCTCCAACCTCCGTCTACAATACACACCCCACGTATACGTTAAC